GGGAGACGCTCCCTAGAACACGGGTTCTCCGATCTTGGCCATTTGACGACTTTGTGGACTTCAACTCCCAGAATTCCTCAGCCAAGGTTGAGCTGTGGGAGATGTGCCCTAGAACAATCTTGGTGACTGGACTTCAACTCCCAGAATTCCTCAGCCAGGGTTGAGTTATGGGCGACACTCCTGCTGGCTGAGGAATTCTGGGAGTTGAAGTCCACCAAGATCAGATACTAGAAGATCTTCTGAGCCCAGAAACATGGAGCGGGGAATCAAGCTGAACAGTTCCTAGCAGAGTCTAAGCTGGCTGAGGATGATGGGACTGGAGCCCAGCATATTTAGAAGCCATGAGTATCAGTTAAGACGCAGGAACCCATCAGCCCCAAACCCCACGCCTTGGTTCTGTTCCGAGGACGTAGCCATCATCAAGAGTTGACCTCAAAACGAGAAGAAATCCTTCATTTTGGGCCTGCAACAAACTTGGGAGAGACCTAGATTGTCCTCAACGGCATCCACGCTGTGGTTGTGAGTCCCCAGTTTTGGACTCACACCAGCAATCCTCAAAGATGGCGGCATGGACAGGATATCTCCAGAATGCCTCAGGAGAGGTCCGATGAAGCTTTTCAGATGATGTTTACCTCAGGGAGTCCTCAACTTATGAGCAGAATTAGGACCAAAACGGAATCCTCGCAGTCGTTAAGTGAATCCAGCTTCCCCCATTGACTTTGCTGGTCCGAAGGCCGCAAATGGACGCTACAACCGTCATAAATATGAATCAGTTGCCCGGTGTCCAAATTTTGATCATGTGACCACGGGGCTACCACGACGGTCATTAAGTGTGAAAAACGGCCGTGAGACGCTCTTTTCAACGCCATTGGGATTTTGAACGGTCACTGTTGTAAGTCGAGGACTACCTGTGCTTGAGGACAAAGCTCGAAGCAGCGCCACTCACGGGGTTTTTGAGGGTGTATTCCGACGTGACGTTCTCCAGTTCCTCGATGGTGTATGTGGACATATCCAAGCTGCAGGCCTGGCTGTCATCGATGCTCCACTGCTGATAGTAATCCTGGCTTGCTAAACGGCGGGGAAGAACAGAGAATGTTGGTTTATTAAATGTATAGGGCTGCCTGTCTCGCTATTAACCGGCGCCTTGGGCTGTGCCAGGGCTCTGCAGCAGCCGGCTTGAAACTCCGTTTTCCAAGGAGAAAATAACCCATCCTCCACACCGGGGGAGCCCCTCAAAGCAGCATGACACAAGGCCCTCGTGGTGTGAGGTTGTGGCTCACTCCGGAAAGGCTGGACTTCAACTCCCAGAATTCCCCAGCCAGAATGCTTTAAGATGGGTGGAGTTCAACTCCCAGAATTCCCCAGCCAGAATGCTTTAAAATGGGCGGACTTTAACTCCCAGAATTCCCCAGCCAGAATGCTTTAAGATGCCTGGACTTCAACTCCCAGAATTCCCCAGCCAGAATGCTTTATAATGGGTGGCCTTCAACTTCCAGAATTCCCCAGCCGGTGTGACTTAAACAGGCTGGGTTTCAATGCCCAGAAATATGGGTGGGGAATTCTGGGAATTGAAGTCTCACCACACCTTAAAGCAGTCCCAGGTTGAAAAGCCCTTAAGATTGGAACATTCTGGCCCGTGCAAGGAGAAAAAAATAAATAAGATTATTCAGGCTGTGCCAATTCTTTCTAAACGCAGCCGGTAAAGCCGCCCTGTGCCCCCTGCCCGAAGGACCCACCTTGGACCTGTTTGACGCAGGAGAGGGCATACTGGAGGGTGGCCAGGGTGCCCGACTTCCCCTTACTGCGTTTCTCGGAGGGTAGGCGGATCTTCATCTCTTTGAGCGCCTTCATGAGCTCCTTCTGCGTCTTCACGCGGGCCGACTGTTCACTGCTGCAGGGGGCGAAGAACGAGAGGCCGGTCAAGGCAGCCGCCTCCCCGGATTGCAAATTTTCTGCAAAGGGCTCGCCCGGGATGGTTGAAACTCCCCCCTTCCTCTGGCACATTCACCCACACAGGAATGGAATAAGAATAAGAATAGAAATAAGAATAGAATGGAATATAGAATGGAATGGAATGGAACAGTGGTGGCGAACCTATGGCACGCACACCGTCGCCCCAGTCCTAGGCCTTCAGCTGGGTTTTATAAAACCTTTTCGCTTTAGGCCTCCGCCGCCGTGTGCAAAAAAAAAAAAAGGTCAATCAATCAGTCAATTTCAACTCGCTGGAAAAAAAAATCTTGCAAAGTTGGAATTGATTGATTGAACTTTTTAGTCCCACCCAGTCTGCCGTTACCACCGCAGCCACGCCCAGCCAATGGGCCATGCCCAGCCAATAGGCCACACCCACCCAATGGGCCACACCCACCCGGCACCCGATGATGCATAAGTGGGTTTTGGGTTGCAGTTTGGGCACTCGGTGTCTAAAAGGTTCGCCATCACTGGAATAGAATAAGAGTAAGAATATAGAATAGAATAATGGAATGGAATGGAACAGAATAAGAATAAGAATAAATAAGAATAGAGAAAATATGGAATGGAATGGAATAAATATAATAACAATGATGATGATGATAATAATAAAATAGAATAAGAATATAGAATAGAATAATGGAATGGAATAAAATAGAATATGAATAAAAATGAATAAGAATAAGAATAGAATAGAGAAAATATGGAATGGAATGGAATAAATATAATAATAATGATGATGATGATGATGATGATGATGATGATAAAATAGAATAAAAATAACAATAGAATGGAATAATGGAATGGAATGGAATAAATAAGAAGAAGAATAGAATAGAATAAGAATATAGAACAGAATAATGGAATGGAATAAAATAGAATAAGAATAAATAAGAATAAGAATTAATAATAATAATAATAATAATAAGAATAAGAATAAGAATAGAATAAGAATATAGAATAGAATAATGGAATGGAATAAAAGAATAAGAATAAATAAGAATAAGAATAAGAATAGAATGGAATAAGAATAAGAATAAATAAGAATAAGAATAAGAATAGAATAGAGAAAATATGGAATGGAATGGAATAAATATAATAATAATAATAATAACAACAACAACAACGATAATGATAATAATAATAATAAAATAGAATAAGAATAGAATAAGAATAGAATAATGGAATGGAATAAAATAGAATAAGAATAAATAAGAATAAAAATTAGAATAGAATAGAGAAAATATGGAATGGAATGGAACATAATAATAATAATAATAATAATAATAATAATAATAATAATAATAATAATAATAATGATAATAATAATTTTTCTCTCTCTCTCTCTCTCCCTGCTAAACGTTCCCGCCGCCCATCCTCAAGACTTGGGTTACGCTCCTGCAGGTCCGTGCTGCACACCTGGGGAGGCCTCACCTGTCCATCCCACTTACCTGCAGCCACTGGTGGAGGGGTTGTCTTGCTCCGAGCTGGCACTGAGGAGGCTGTAGGCGATGGAGCTGCTGGCCGGGGACGGGCTCTGCGAGTTGGAGCTGGGGAGAGATGGGGAAGAGTGTGTGGGGGGGGCTGGTTTAGATCTTGGGGAAAAAAGCAATCCTGTATGCGGATATCCTGGAAGTTCGTTGCCACACTCCCCCCCACCGAGGTGGTCCTCGACTTACGACAATTGGAAGCAGAGCTTCTCTCGTTAAGTAAGGCTAAATGAGCCATCCCACGACTCTGCCTGGTTTTGCGGCTATTTTTGCCACGGTCGCTAAGCGAGTCGCACGGTCGTTAAGTGAGTCCACATGCCCTCCGGTGACTCGGCTTGCCAGATGCAGGATGGGAAGGTCACGTCACACACACACAAACACAAACTTACACCTTGTTGAAGTGACCGTTCAAACTTACAACAGCGCAAAAAAAAAAAAAATGACTTAACGACCGGTCCTCGCTTTAAGACCGTTGTAGCATTTCCCCCAGAGTCACACGATCAAAACTGAGGCACTTGGGTGACCAGCGTGTATTTTACAAGGGTGGCGTTGTCTGGCGGTCACTTGACCGCCAATTGGTGACATCATCTCCCAACCAGCTTCCGTCGAGCAAAGTCCATGGGACAAGCCGAATTCCCTTAACGACCGCACGATTCACTTAACAACCTCCGGGATTGGCTTAACCATCATGGCAAAAACAAAAAAAAATAAAATAAAAATCCAAGGTTGTCAAATCGGACGCGACGACTCGCTTAAGAACCGTCTCGCTTAGCAACGGAAAATCTGGTCGTAAGCCGAGGACTTGCTTCCCTCCGTTACCTCTTATTGCTCTCGGTGGTCTCCAAAAGAGCCGAGTCCTTCCCGTTGCCGCTGCTGTGTGAGCTGCTGTGCGAATCGCCGTGCGATTCGTTGCCGCTGGAGCCGTTGCTGTTGACATCCATGTCGTCAGTGGGCTGGCCCTGGGCGTCGCTCGCACGGGGCGCACGGGTCCTGCGGGGGGCGCCGGAGCTGCCGCTGCTGCTCCCGCCCCCGCTGGTCGGGCTGGATTCGCAACCGGCGCTCATGCCTGCTTGTGGAACATGGGCCTGGCCTTGGAGAAATAACCAGGCCAGGCGCTAAACGCTATAAATCCCGGAGGGGGGGAGAGAGAGAAGAGCTCGCCGGCAGAACTGGAACTTCCTCCTTCGTCGGGGGCCGAATCGGCCTTACTTGAGGGCAAACATTTCATCCGCAAAGACCTACAAAAGTGTGAAAAAACAACAAAAAAGCAAAATTCACAAAGAAGAAACGACAGAATGAGATCCTTTTGCAGAAAGATCACCGCTTGGTGCCCTTTCCTCTTTAACCCAATTCCCCGACCAATGGGATTCCTTGCATTGCTAAGGTCAAAGGCGAGCCCCGTAGGACCTCTCTTATTTTCCCAATGCTGCTAAAACCTGGGGAACTTTTTAAAGATGGGTGGACGTCAACTCCCGGGGTCGAAACAAACAAATCGCAAGGATGTGCCGCCAATAAATTTTGATCGATCAATAGGACAGATAAATAAATTCAGGCAGTCCTCGACTTACCGTCTGTTTAGCGACCGGTCAAAGTTACGACAGCACTGGGGGGGAAAAAAGAAGAAGAAAAAAGAGTTAGGACCGTTTTTCATACGACCGTTGGTCTAAAATTCAGACGACTCGCGTTTACGACGGGAGCAGTGTCTCCCGGGATCACGTGATCCCCTTTTTACGACCGTCTGACAAGCGAAGTCAACGGGGGAAGCCAAGTTCACTTAACAGCCGTGTGACTCCCTTAACAACTTAAAAAGAACCGTGGGGGAAAAAGGTCGTAGAAACGGGGCAAAATTCACTTTAACGGCCGCCTCGCTTAGCCACGGAAATGTTGGGCTCGACTGTGGCCGTTAAGCCGAGGACTGCTTGTAAATAAAGGTAAGTTAAGTTAAAAACTACCTGTCAGTTAGTAAAAAAGGAGTTCCTGAGCATAATCCTCCGCTAATCCTCGCCTACTACAGGTAAGTAAGTAAATAAATATAAATCGAGGATTTATCTTTATCACCACCCTATTCAGAAGCCTGGACTCGCCTGAGAAAAATGTAATGATTTCTTGAGATGAAATTGTATTTTTAAAAGGATTTTATGGGAGCGTCCCTCGTTCCCTTGCCGGTGCATTCAATGACTTCATTTTTAATTTCCAGTTGTTACTAAGCAAAGTAAAACTCGCAATGATGATTCAGGCGCTGGCTGATACTGGATCCAGCCTCCAGGCGCACAGCACTGTAATTCCCAGAGTTAAATTTACAGGCCGACGTGGGTTGGGACCAGCTCGGATTTGGATGGAACCCAGTTTTTCCGCCTTCAGCTTGAAACAAGGCTAAGGCAGAGGGTCCTCCACTTACGACAGTGTCGGGACTGTAATTTTAGCCACTAGGTGAGGCTGAGCGATCCCGTGACTAGTTTTATGACTAGTTTTACCGCATTCATTAGGCGTTATCGTACGGTGGCTGAGGAATTCTGGGAGTTGAAGTCCACAAGTCATCAAAGGGTCATAGTTCCCTCACGCTGGCTGAGGAATTCTGGGAATTGAAGTCCACAAGTCATCAAAGGGCCAATTTTGAAGACCCCTAATTGTGGACTTCAACTCCCAGAATTCCTCAGCTAGGCATGCTGGCTGAGGAATTCTGGGAGCTGAAGTCCACAAGTCATCAAAGGGCCATAGTTCCCTCACGCTGGCTGAGGAATTCTGGGAGTTGAAGTCCACAAGTCATAAAAGGGTCATAATTCCCTCACGCTGGCTGAGGAATTCTGGTAGTTGAAGTCCACAAATCATAAAAGGGTCATAGTTCCCTCACGCTGGCTGAGGAATTCTGGGAGTTGAAGTCCACAAGTCATCAAAGGGTCATAGTTCCCTCACGCTGGCTGAGGAATTCTGGGAGTTGAAGTCCACAAGTCATCAAAGGGTCAAAGATTCCCTCACGCTGGCTGAGGAATTCTGGGAGTTGAAGTCCACAAGTCATAAAAGGCTCATAGTTCCCTCACGCTGGCTGAGGAATTCTGGGAGTTGAAGTCCACAAGTCATAAAAGGGCCGAGTTTGAAGACCCCTGGTCTTTTTGGGGCTTGTCAACAATGCCAATTTTAAGACATACGTGCACTTCAACTCCCAGAATTCCCCAGCTGAGCTGGGGAATTCTGGGAGTTGAAGTCCACATGTGTCTTAAATTTCCCAAGGTTGCATTTAGAGACTCAAACTTCTCTATAATTTGGAAGGACTTCGAATATTGATGAACAAAAGCCGGTTTTTGACGGCAGACTCACATCCAACCGATCTTTAGCACTGCAAATAACAAGCAGGGCCTTCTTCCCTTGCTCCTCTCCAGCCAAACGGGGAAAAGAAATAACACAACCGAAACACCGCACTGCCAACTCACAACGAAACAACCTTCTCCCTGCCTTTTTCAGCCACCTACAGCTGCCAAACCGTCAGCAAATCTCGGCAAAGCTGCCAGAAAGGGGCGCCCAAAACACCATCCTCCCCAGAAAGGCCTTGCAGCTGGGAAGCATGGGCCCTGTTGTATGCCGCCCCCTTTGGGGACTCGAGGGGAGAGAGAGAAAAAAAAAGTACACTCTGCCTAGCGATACGTGTAGGTGGTGCGGTGCAGAGGACGGTTATTAACTCACAAGCTGCAAAGATGTCACAACAAACCTTTTATTAGCACAGTGTGTACTTTTCAGAACAGGAAATTCTATAAAAGGAAATTAGAGGGGCTTTTTTGGTGTGTGTGTTTTGTTTTTTTAACTGTAAGTCGCAGCTGGGTAAAGAACCCATTTTCTGTTTTACAACCGACAACAACTCCGGCAACTTGCACAACAATAAAAAATAAATATGTCCTCCTTATCAAATCTCCGGTGGGGGGGGGAGAGAGAGAAAGAGAGAAAAAGACAAAGAGAAAGAGAGAAAGGGGGAGAGAAAGAGAGGGAAAGGGAGAGAGAAGGAGAGAGAGAGGGA